ATATATATATGATAGCTCCAAACTTCAAACTATGCGCACCTTACGCAACCTCACCAAATCTTATATGGTTTTGTATTTTTATTTATGACACATTACAAATTGACTAGAATCTTCTATGCTGGTCATAACTCGTTTAACTTAAACACCTTCTTAACTTTTTAGCCTCAAAGGCAAAGATAAGAAAAATCTGGAGGAAATCGAGCTGTCGTGTTAAAAATTGATGACAAAAAATGTGACCATGACAGGGAGCTGTTGGATGGTTGGTGCTATCGCGATGGAATATGCCATACCCGTGTAGAAACATGTGCAATACTCGTTTACTAATTTGAGGTTTAAAATAGAAATATCGTTTTTTTTCTAGTTGAGTCTGGAAAACAATATCTTGTGCCATATTGTGAGCGCAAAGCCGCTGATAGTGGAAGATTTTGTGAGGTTCGTATGATTTTTCATCGCAAGAAATTCGTCTTATTTGATATTGAAGTCATTATGATTGATTATTATCAGGCATGTTGTTATATCTTCTCGTGTGCTACTTAAAAGTAAAGTTATAAGTTCGTTTAAGCCCCAAAGTATGAAGAAATTAAGCTGTTCCATTTACTACAGTAGTATCTTCGATTTGTTTGCAGAGATGATCTACCATTTTTCGTTTTCATGACATTTTTGGCTAACTTTTTCCCGAATGACGGATACATCAAACAGTCTTAACAAAGAAATATGTTACAGTATCATAGAAAAGATGCATGCGAACCAACAGCAGTGGAAAAAAGAACAAGGAGTCACACGTGAAAATCGTTGCACTAGCCACCAAAATGGAAATTGCATCTCCCCAGAGGGAATACCTTTGTGCGAGTAAGTCTAGAGGTCTTATGCGTACAAATATTTGTTCTTACTAAATAAACATTGATGTTTCAGCTGCTTCCCAGGTTATGTTGGTGAAAAGTGCGATATTTACGATCCTTGCGCCAGAAATCCATGTGGGAGAACTTCTGAGTGTATCGCGGTTGGTTTCTCCATGACCTGGATGTCGTAATTTACAGAATGCCCACTTAAATTGTTCAGATACCAGATGAAATGGAAGTCAAAGGAGATCTATCCGCTCAGAATTACCGTTGTATATGCGGAATGGCTGAAGATTTAGATGCCTAAGACACTGCAGGTATGATTTCCAAAATCGTAAAGCACTTCTGGGAAGATGTTAACTTCAGACACAAAGGGCGTATACACTGGCACTGGAAACTGTTCAGAACCCAAAAATCCGTGTAATCGAGGCGAATATATAGCATGCCAGCATGAAGAAAAGAGGAAATTTTGCAGATTTGCGATGAAAGGGAGAAGCGAGATGGTTTTAGTGGTTTTTTTAATGCATTCAGTAATTAACCCAACATAAGCAATTATGAGATTTAGGTGTGTATGCGAACCGGGATTCAAACCACCATACTGTGAATCTCCTGCTGATGCTTGCTTCAGTAATCTTTGTATGAATGGAGGACAGTGTGTACGTTGACTTCTACTAAATATACTTAAATGCTGAAGTACTGCACGATCATTCAAATTATTGTCACTGACTTTTTGGAGAAGCTTA